GGCTGTAAGAGGCTAGAGCCAAGATTTGGGGAGTGGGGGAAGGGTGCCACCAGACTGAGCTGGGGAGAAGAGCCAGGGCAAGGGGGGTGAGGGGGGGGGAGGTGGACAGAGACAGAAACCAAGGACAACTAGAGGGGGAGAAATCAGAGACAAGAGATATTGTACAGGGGAAAGGGCAGAGAGAAAGAGGTCAGAAATAGAGATGGAGTAGATGTATACATTGGGAAATATGCAGGTCAGAGAGATGGGGTGCAGAGGGAAGAGTCAGAAAGAAATGGGGATGAAGATGAAGGAAAGGTCAGAGATGGTATGGAATGAGAGACGAGGGGATTCAAAGGAAGTAGAGCTCACAGAAGTGTGGAGGGAGGAATGGGGTGCAGAGGGAAAAGTCTGATATGAAGTAGGGGTGCAGAGGGAAAAGGTTAGAGACAAGTGCGGATGGGAAGAGTCAGAGAAGCAGCAAAGCAGAGAGGGGTGTCAGATGGAGTGGAGGGACAGATGGGATACAGGGAAACATGGAGCATAGAAGGAGAGAAGTGAGAGATGAGGGGAGAGAAAAATGGGGTTCAGAAAAGGAAGGATGAGAAAGATGAGGTGCAGAGGTCAGATAAATGGGGTGGAGGGAGGGGATAGGGTGCAGAGTTGAAATCAAAGGTATGAGGTAGAGGAAGAGATGAAGTGCAGAGGTCAGTGGGATGGAAGTGGAGAGGGGGAGAGGTCAAAGAGAGATGGGGTCCAGAGGACAAGATGAGCGTCAGAGGTGGTGGGGAAACAGAAAAAAGAGGTGAGGTCAGGGAGCAAAGGAAGTCAAAGAAAGGGAAAAAAAGAGAAGGAGAGAGGTGGGGGGAGGAGGGAGATGGAGGAGGAGGGGGAGAGGGCTTTGCAGCAGTGAAAGCTGCTGGGAGAAGATAAGGCAGCAAAGCAGCAGGAGGGATTAAAGCTCTAAGGGGCAGGAGAGCAAAGGGAGGGGAGAAGAAGAGAGGGGAAAGGATAAAGGGAGGGAGGGAGAAGAGAGGAAAGAGATGGAAAACCAAGTGGTAAAGATCCGGGAGGGAAAATGG